AAAGCAATAAGAACACTGTAAAATCACTGTAGCACAACCTCACTTACTGAGTTGGCAGTTTTTATCTGTTACTGTTGCATGATTCTAAATGGCCCATCTCACTCTGCTACAGGGTCATAGTGGACCTGTTAAAGATGAACGTTGCTCCTCTGGCAGTCTTTCAGACCCTAAAGACCATGTGTGCAGGACAGAAAGTCTCTGAAACATCCACCGGTGACACATCCACAGCGTCCCACACTGCCACTGTGCCTTCTGAGTCTAGAGGTGAGTGCTACACATGTAAAAGTCATGGAGACCAAAGCATAATATGCCACAGAATTGCATGGTTTGAGTTGGAAAATAGGTGATGTCAAATACAAAGCAACATCTATGCTGTACTGATGGTACTTTTGAACTCCGACTGTCCTTTTTGGTAATCTGTGTGTGACTTCCTATAGAAGAGGAGGGTGTGGTCTCAGGAAAGAGCTCTAAAACTGCAGCCCCTCCCTCTGCATCTGTACCCCGCCCACCTAGGGGAGGGGCTAAGATAGTGGTCTACAGTGCGGGTGACACGAGTGCTCCTGTATCTCAAGGTTTTTCTTCTCTCCCTCTTTTAGCTTGGTTCTCTCATCCTTTTTTTAATCCTGATGCTTGCGAGTTCAAGGTCTTCTCTTCACTCCCATGAACTATTGCAGCACATTTCTCATGCTGACATAACTAATTCCTGCCTCAGCTTCATAGTGCCATATATCTGTTCTCATTCTCATGCCTCACCGATTGTGCCGAGATTTGCGGGCTCAATGCTCCGAATATGGGGGAGAAATGCCCCATATGAAGACACATGAAGAAATAGCTTCATGTGTCTCATGGACTCTCATGGACTCTCATCCAGCTATAGAGTCCTCTGCTTCTCATGGTAAATTAATGTCTGTTAATGGCGTGTGTCGAATGTGACACTGTAATGCACTAGTAAACCAGTATCCTGCAAAATTGTCTGCAACCAACATTGAAAAGCATGCATGTGACTGTCAACTTCATAAACGGATGGTGTTTACCACTTCATCACTGATTTTTGCACTGAATACAACTGATTTGTTATAAATCATCTTGGTTTCGCCTAATGAACAAAATCTCCCTCATATGTGACCTTCTCCATCATTTTGAGTTGTTTTGACCCTGAAACACATTTCACAGTTTTAGTTCTCTACTGGTGTAATTATATTTATACTTCAAACTGGTCAAAATATAATAATGTAAATGGTCAAGCATCAAATAAATAAAATAATGATTTTCTAATAATATATTTTAGTGATATGCTCTTCTTTAATCATTTCCTACCTAACAAGCTGTGGACACTGAATGACTTTCCTTTCCGGCTTTTTTTCTTTTTTTTCTTGTTTTTTTTGAGACACTGACAGATGATTACATGAGATATGAAATATTTTGGTAAACTGTTGTGAATCCTTGAACATATACTCTGATGTTTACTTATTTTTTTCATGCTATAGAGCGCAACAGTCAGAATCGTATTCGTTTTCTTCACAGGGGAACTGATTTTTATTGATAACTTACAAACTTTTACAAACCAGCTGTGAGCTACGTGGTTGTTAATCTGCTGAAGCTGTCAGCCCACATTATTTTAACTAATTATGTTTTGTGGAATTTCTCATGGAGAAACTACGTTACCCATAATTCCCATGATCAGAGCCAAAATAACTCTTTAGTTCTTTCATGAAGCCCTGTGAATGACTTGATAGAATAAGTCTTATATGTATGCATATTTTAATCAATCTTTAAATCAATAGTTTTATATTTATCAAGCATTTTTATTTCAATTACGTTATATTGCTTCATGGGATTGTAGTTCTTTCCCTCATTAAAGCTTATAAGTGCACAGTCTTATCTTTTTGTCTGATTTTCAAATACCTTTTCGCCTCATAGCTGGTTGGTTTGGTTCATGGCTCTCAACTCTTTAATGAAGACTTTTTAAAATCCCTGTGTGAAAAACAAATACTTCGGGAACCAAGGCCGCAGAAGTTGTCAGGTGTTCTGACGATTTATGCTACCCACTCAGATTGTGATACCTCTCATTAAAAAGATTGGTAGCACAAATCGATAGCAAAAAATGCTACCTATCAGATTGTGCTACCAGCATCTTATTCATGTGGTTTGAGGCTTTTTTAATGTCCATACCTACCCCTACCCTTAACCTACCCGTCCACACCTACCCTTACCCTAAACTTACCCTTAAAACAATGCAAATATATTTTTGGTAGCACAATCTGATAGGTAGCATGTTTCGTCGGTACACCGGCACTGTTGCACTTATTAACTAGTAGTTAAAGCAGAATAGATGATCGGTTCATGCACGTATGCTGCTGTTTGAACTGAAGCATCATCATTGATTTGCCACACCACATTAAAACATGTCAGACAGACATTTATTTTTGAATTTCACAATTAAAAAATCTAATTACAAACAAGTTGTTGCAACTTTCAACTCAAAATGATAGAGCCCGTCACATATGTATGTGTTTTATGTGTTATGTTTATGTGCGTTTCTTCTGTGTGTATTTGTGATTTAGTACGCAGTAAAACAAGTTCAGGGCAAGGGGAGAAATCGGCAAGAGATGGTTCTAGCCAGCGAGTGCCACGGCAGGTCAGCGCCACCAGGGGACAGAAGAGCGCCAAGAGCTCAGGCAGCAGCAGCTCGTCTTCTCAGCTCACCTCCAACTGAAGTTCTTCATGAATTAAACAACACATACCAAACTTGCTTGAATTAAACTCCGTTTTTCTGTTGATGAAGGTTCCTGTAGAATTGGAAGAAACTTTTTCACTGTAAACAAAAATAGTTAAGCCATTTTAGGGATCTCCCTAGATATCTTCAGTGTTTCACTGAAGACCTCTTTGCATCAAATTTGCATCTCCCCCAGAGAGACTATAACTGAAGTATGCCATATTTTCCACGGTTTAGTTTACACGTTCACACCAAAACCATTTGAGAAAAACACAGATAATCTTTTGCTATCTTTAAACCATCCACTTCTACAATTCGGCAGCTTCGGGCTGCTGTGAAGCACATCTGTTTTAAACTGTTTATGTGTAAGACACTCAAAATTGTCTTGGTAAGCTTCGATGTCTAGATGGACATTCTTTTCTATTATTTTCATTTGTGAAATGTTCTTTTTTATGTTATTTCTTTGTATTTCCTTTTCTTTTATCCTTTTTTTTTTTCGAGTGCATCTCCAGTTTTAAGTAAAAAATATTCCTCTTTAAAACCAATTATTGTATTTCGTACTTTAATTCTTTACATGATTACATTACACACTTTGTATAGTATGCATAAATCATGTATAAAGCAAAATATGAGAGTGTATTTGTTTTTGATTAAAAGTCTAGTTAATGTTTCATAAGCACATACATAAGCATTTAATTATGCGGTTACTTTGACTGTGGAATTGTGAATGCTCTCTTCATTCATTTTGACCAGAATGAACTCTTGATCAGCATACTTCACATTTCATGTTAAATGAGATGGAATTTGCTGCACCGTCTTCCTCTATAGAAGCTGTACAGTGTAAGACAGGGCCAGGGTCAACGGAAGCACTTGTGTGTTTGTACACTGCACTGTCTTTACTGTATGGTCACACTTGGTGACTGTGTAGGCCAAGGTAAGACCTCTTGCTATTGAGACGTGCACAATGGTTAAAGACTTCTCTTCAGTAATGAGCTGCAGCTAAATGAAAATATTTCGGTGAAGTGAACAACTGAGAATGGCGTGTTAAGAGTTCAAATCATTTCAGTCTAAGATCAAACGTTTTTTAATCATAATGTGAAAGCAGTCCTAAAGGATCATATACTTGCAGAAAGACTCATTGAAGAAAGAAAATGGGAAGACTTTCAGGTTTTCTTGTAGGCGTTTAGATGATTTTTGTTTTGCATTTCTTTAGGATTTTGTTTGACTGGTAAACGGGTTCAAACTATCCAAATGTAGGAGTTTTTCAGTTTTCAGCACTGATATTAATAAGAAATTTCTTAAAGGGATAGTTTACCTTCAGTTGGTCCCCACTGACTAGTGTTTTTTCCCCATACTATACGGAAGTCAATGGGGACCAGCAACTGAAGGTGAGCTATCCCTTTAAAGCTCCAAATCATATTACATATTATTAGTTCAGAATTTCATGTTTAATTCAGTGTGTTAGGTGCCGTTGTTAAATTGAGCAAAAATTACAAAGGAAAATCCACACCAATTATGTTTATTTTTTTATTTTTCCCCTCAGCCTAGGATGATTTTTGAAGGATTGTATGATACTGTAGACTGGAGTAATGGCTGCTGAAAATTTAGCTTTGCCATCTCAGATATTACATTTTAAAATGTATTAAAATAGAAACCTTTTTTATTTACATTGTAATATTTCACAGTATTGCTGCTTTACTTCATTTATCAAATGAATTCAAAACACGATTCTTCAAACACATTAAAAAACCAGACAAAAATATAGCAGATAAAAAAAAAAAAAATTTGTCTTTATTGGAATATGACAGAATTCCGTAACAGTAATTTTTATTACAGTATGGCCCACATTCACTTGCATGAACAAAAGTGGCTTATGGCTCTACTTTTCATTGCTAAATGGCAGATGGACAGTCTTTTCTCTTTCGAGGTCAGTTGATTAAAGCGAATTCCTTCAGATATTCCTGCACAAATACGGCCATAAAAACATCTAATTGCACATGCAAGTCTTTCAACAGTTCATTTCTTTTGTCACTTTGGGAGAAAAAACTTTCTGAACCTGAATAATAGGACTTTCCTTTGCCATTTTAATGAAAGACAGTTGGGTTTGTTGACTAGGCCTATATGGTTACCATATTTTTGGGCAAAGTGTGTTTTTATTTTTATTAAATGTGTATATTTTTAAGGCTTCTCAAACACCAACCTGCCGCTGGTCGGTCTGATCTTGTGTATGGATCTCAGTAGGCCTATGTATTGATCTCTCTCTGTATATGTATGCTGCAAGCAGACCATGACAGGATGTTTGGAAAGGTTGCGAGAGGTTTTATGGTTTACCAATCCAACGATGGCATTGCTGGATTTTTGAAGAGTATGGTCCATAAGTAAAGAACAGAGCAGTGCTCATGAGGGGAATAGAAAAGAAAAGCTTTTGTTTGCCAGACTGAGAGAGATGAGGACAAAGACATACACTTGTGGAGAAAACGAGAAAGAAAAAGAGCTTGAGGGGCTGGAGCTAAAGAAAATAGGTGTGTGTGCGCGCGGGGAAGGAAGCGAGAGAGAGAGAGAGGTGAGCTGAGGTTTTAATGTGGCCGTTTGTCGTGTTTATGTGGCTGTGGCGCTGCTCTCTCCTGCTCTCTGTATTGATGGCAGTGCAGCCAGGCTGTAATTGATGGCGGCATATTGCTGTACTCCGGCAAGTGTAATGGGCCGAGACACAGAAGCAGAGAGCACAGCAGGAACCCTCTTTAACCCTTTACGTTCTCACACACTCAAACCCTGAAATATGTGTGTTTTTGTCTCTGTAGGGAAGACGACGGGTGCCACATTTCTACTACAGGTAACTCCTCTCCCTATTTTGTAACCCCGCGTTTGCTTTAAAGCATTAATTATCAATTCAAAACACCTTGTGCAAGTTTTGAAGTTGCACACAAAAGACACAGTTCTTCCCTTCCGTAGAGCTCTGTTGCTGCCATAAAACAAAATGCTTCTTATATTGTTACATTGTTTAGTTTGCTTCTCTGCTTTGTTCAGATGTACTTTTAAAGTGATCCGATACTTGAAAGCTATAGAAATCAAACCTATCTTGGTGGAACTGGTGAAAACAGGCAGTCATGTGATCTCTATGAAGGAACAACCAACTTTTATTAGGCTACTGATAAATTAATCGTTTGAAATGAGTGCATATCATTTGTAACCCTGGCTGTGAAAACCCAGCTAAAGTAATTTTTTGGTGATTGACTGTTTTCTAAATAAAATCATCCTTCATAAGGTAAAGAACATTCTGTGAAAATGTAACCTTGATATCTTTAAAGGGGTCATATGATGCGATTTCAATGTTTCCTTTCTCTTTGGAGTGTTACAAGCTCTTGGTGCATAAATAAGATCTGTAGTTTACGCGGCACGATGCAACGCGTAAAAAGACAGTATAAGTCATTATAATCTGTAATTATGTCCCCATTGGATACAACAAATGCCTTGTTTATAATGGGTTTTAATGTTTTTGAATCGTCGCGCCAGCCTGACAGGGCATCACAGTATGGTAAGGGGGTTATCATTTCCGTCACACGCTTGAGGTATTTGGCCAATCACAACGCACTGGATAGCTGGCCAATCAGAGCACACCTCGCTTTTCAGACCGATGAGCTTTGTAAAAATCGACGCATTTCAGAAAGGCAGGGCATAGAGGAGAAACTGTAATGTACAGTATGTGGAAAATAATGTGTTTTTTGAACCTTAAACCGCATAAACACATTTCATTACACCAAATACACAAAATAATGTTCTTTTTAGCAACATCATATGACCCCGTTAATATTGATTAAGACCATGTCAACGATTTAAATCGTAGTGAAATTAATGGTTGAAGTCAAATTTTGATGCTTGTTATCTCATAATTAGATTTTGAGACTTTAGCCTGGATTTCACAGAGAGGGTTACATTTTGTAAAAAGTTCTTGAGGGGTAAAACATTTGGAAAGAAATTACTGAGTGCGTCTCTAAAGAAATATTTTGGGTTACATATGAGTGAACTGACCTCTACATCTGCTAAAATTAAATTAAATTATTAAAAGTAAAAAAAAAAAGATCAGTTTTTATAAAATATTTTATTTGTTTACACAATTTGTCTTGGTGAATCTACCAGTACACAGAAAAAAAAAGATATAAATAAGTAAAATAATATTTTTTTGATTGCACAGGGAAGAACTTGGGGGCATTTTAACTGTTCATGAGTTAGACGGTTTGTATTTTTCTTGTGTCTTTCTTTTTTTTTTTTCTCTAACCTGGAATATTTCTTTAAGACATATTTGATGACAGAAACACATTAGCTTGATTGTATTTTTAGTAAGTGACATCAGTGAAAGGTGTTTATTTCTTTATTTTTTCCTTTCATAGCTTGCCACAGCTCTCTGCAAACTGACAAAAAGGTGAGTCTTGTTTGGGTGGTTACCTGCCTTCCCAAGTCAGCAATAGGGGGCAGTGTGTCTCTACTGGCACTTTAGCGCTTGGATGCTGAGATTGTTGGTACCTCATTTCCCCCTCCACATATGCCCTGCCTGTGGCATCATGCTTCTATGTGTGAACATCTTTGGCAGCATGGAGAGGGAAGGGCCCATCAGCCGGCACGCTCCCTCTGCTGTGAACATATTTGTTTGCTTGACTGTTTGTTTCTATTTCTGAGAGTTTGACTTAACCTTAGTCATTAGCAGGGCAGATTTATGGTAATTTTCATTGTTTATTCGCATGTTTATTCATGGGCCTGTATGCTTCCATAGTGGTGATAGTGATAATTTATTCAGAGACGATATCTCTTAAAATATATCATATCATAAGTCAAGGCTTATAAATTAACATTGATAATACTAGAACGCCATTGGACAAAACTGTTAAACCACTATTAGCTAATCATAACATATATTTATACATACATAATAAACATATGTCGATATCCAAGTGTGAACAAGCAACAAAGAACCGTAGGCCTGTATGTCTGTAGACTCACACAGTAAATGAAAAACTAGCCGTCCTTTTCAATATCCAGCTGACATCCTCATCAAACAAATGTATTTACTGTACAAGACTCTGTTCTCTCAGTCTGAATACTATGAAACAATATTGTGCTCGCTGTTTCTCAGAGCACACAATCTAATCAAAAATACTCCATGTGTTCGCCAGATAATGACTAGTGAATAGATCTCCTCATGTTATTTACACAGTACATGAAAACATGCTCTTTCCAGCTCTATTTGCAGCAGATCATAGTTGTGTTTGATAATGATTCGAGATTTTAGAAGTCAGTGTGTGCAAAAAATGATAGATTGAGCCCATCATTGCATTTGTTGACGAAATCACTTAACTCATGAACACTGCATATAATAATATATGATATTCCTACCAACATCACGACTGTGTTCAAGAATTTAATAGAAGCTAATAGAGTAACTTACATTTTAGACACAATATTGCCAGTTGCATGGTATATTTTTTTGCCACGTCAACAAATCATTTTTTTTCCAAACGAAGCCTGAGTAGAACTGTTGCATCAGCAGTTTTTAGCAAAATGATTTGGTCGAGTGAATGATTTAATGATTCACTGTTATTCAGCTGTATCTGAATATCCATACTTCACTGTACAGTAGGCGAAAACAAGCATGTGTAAAGAGCTGCATGTCCGAATTCACAGTATGCATAAAACAGTAGGCAAAAAGTACTGTAAGGACACTTGAAGCCACTGGAGAGGATTTGGAAATGGCAGTAAAGCAGTGCAGCTGATGCTGGGATGTCACATGACATTATTTTTTTAATGGTAATGAAGTAATTACTTGAAAGAAGGTACCTACTCAGAGAGTATGCGATTTCGGATTGGAACTTGTGTCTAAATTTGGAACGGCATACTATGCTTACTATTTCCGCATTTAAAGATATGGTAGGAATAGTAAGAGTTTTATGCCAGTATTCTATATATTGATTTGATTAAGTGAATAATTCAATGATCTACTCATAAGTTTAAATTCCTAAATGAATCAGTGTTTTTGAACAAATCAGTTCAGTGAATGATTCAGAAAAGCTCACTGAAAAATCCCTAAGCACAGAACAAAACCGAACGAAGCATCGAGAGCAAGCAATTAGAAACCATCCTCCGATTTTAAATCTTAATGCAGATCTGTTTTGTCTCTCGGTGTGTTTTCCCGCTCAGTCCGTCTCACCCTCATCCACCTTCTGGCATTTCCCCAGGTGTTGAGGCAGAGAGAGGAAGTGCTATTTTTACTAGTCTGATCTCACACCTCTCTCTCTCTCGCTCCCTTCCCTCTCCCGCCCCCTCGGTGTGAGGAATATGAGGCACGGATGAGTCTGATGAGAGAGGCCTGAATTTTGCACACACACACATATACTTTCAGCCCTCTGTCAGCTTTTGATTCAAACCTATGAAGGTATTCAGGTGTCTCGCAGCTCCTGTGAGAAACATCTGTTATCAACTGTTCACTTTTTTTTGTCGGAGGCACTTTTCCTTTCGTTTAATCATCATTTTCTCCCTGTTTTCTTTTTGTTGTACTAGCCTGCATGGTGTAGACTTTAGCATACTAGTGCTTGCTTTCTCTCTCTCTCTCTCTCTCACTCCAGCTGTATGTGCCCTTCCACTCCCCCTCTCCATTACTGTGCGTCTGTAGATGCAGTTTCTGCACACGCTCTCTGGCGTGCTTATCGGAATGCGAGTGCTGATTGTTGGCCTGTCTCTCAGTTTGACTGACAGCTCCGGCTTTGCGGCTGAACGCCTGATTTTGTCAATGTTTGTCTGCGAGGCCTTATCTCCAAAACCTTATATTAACTGCCTCGACAGTTAGTGTAGCCAGTCTCCCTCCATCTCGCTTTCCCTCCTCTTATTTCATCCTCCTTTTTCCTCCTTTCTCCATCAACGTCTTCCCTTCTTCTATTTTTCGGGATTGACAGTGTATCAGCAGTTGTTGATTTAAAAGACTCCAGAAATGTCTCATTTGTGATTGTGATGTTTAACATCATGGGTATCATGGTTCTGGTTTGATCCAGTCTCATTTTTAAGATGTGATGATGGCTGAATAGTGGAATATGGAGGTGAGAAGTGGGTAAATCAGTGTTTCCATTGTCTGCATGTAGAGGAGATCCAGAGGTTAGCAGATCAGTTCACACTTAGTGAAATCCAATATGCTTTCAGTTCTAGTCCTTTGAGTCAATGAGTGGACAGACACGATCTTACAGTCATCGAGATTAAACAATTGGATTCAATTAACACAACTCTCTCTCTTACACACATACATATGTGGGTGGTTGATGAATATTGTGTTTTCCATGAATTTTTTTTTATCAACCATAGTCTTTAGGTTTAAATTTATATATCAGTTTAAGTCCATTCTTAGTTGTGAGGTCAGTTTATTTAAACAGATTCACAGTATGATTATTTTATGTTTTTGAGAGAAGTCTTTTACCAAGGATGTATTTTATTTGATCAAAAATACAGTAAAACAGTAATATTATGAAATATGATGACAATTTAAAATAACTGTTTTCTAATTTAATACATCTTAAAATGTAATTTATTCTGGTTTTGGCAAAGCTGAATTTTTAGCAGCCATTACCCCAATCTTCAGTGTCACACGGTCCTTCAGAAATCATTTAATAGCTGTGACCTAGTATATTTATAGACTGTACATATTTTTATTCAAAGATAACAAAATATATGTTAAAAAATCCAGATTAAATGTGTCCTGTCCAAACTTTGTTTCAGTAGGACGTATGTCAGCACAGTAAAGAAAACTGTGTCTCTTATGCCTCTTCATGTTTTTTTTTCCAGGTTTTTCATCATCTTTAATAGTTTTAAATAGTCCTGCGTTGTGAGTGACAAATGGATTTAAAAAGTGAATATGTAGTCTTTCAATTAATAGAAGGTCATAAGCTGCTTGCATAAAAGTTATAAAATAATGATTAAAATGCTGTTTAAAATAGTTTAAGATGTTGTATTCAAGTAATTAATGTAAACTACCCACATATACAGAGTCAGAATGACAATCAACACAAATTAAAAGGACACATTGATGTCTAGGCAGTTTGGAGAAACATCCTTTAGAGAAGTGTCACAAAACAGCAGTTTCATTAAGACCGCAAAACTGTGATTGAGTAAACTGCTATTAAACAGTGATTTAAAGATTTCTTTTTTTTTTTTTTAAAGACTCTGTTGACAAATATCTAATATATGTACTCACAGTCTAAATGTGCTTATGTTTGCTCAATTAATGCTTTTGCTTTAAGAGTATCACTTGAAAAATGTATTTATTATTATACGACTGTCTGGAATACATGATACTGATTGGTCAATAGCAGTATTTTCTGATCGTATATAAACTGTATAACTGACCGCTGGCACAGGTGACTGATTTTCATATATAGTTGTGCTAGTTTGCGGCCTCTTTTTTTCTTGATGATAAAATAATTTAAATTAAATTGCTATTTCATGTCCATTTATTTATTTAGCCGAGTAATAAGCAGGATAATGAGCAGTCAGTAGGCCTGACGCAATAATCAATATATCGACTTATCGTGCAATATATGTACATGACCTCAATAATTTTTTGTGACGCAATATATCGCCCATTATATTTACTTAAAAATGTATGTTACTATGTTTTGTACGTTCCACTTGCACCTGTGTCTTTTGCAGCTTCTCGTACATAACGTGGTCAGCTGGTCATTATTGCAAAATACCCCTTCAGGGTGATACAAGACCCCTCTATTTTGCATGTTCTTCAAGTGGACAGCAATAATACAACTCTTCTGACATTGTATTTGTCCTCAGCAGCCCTTAATGTTGATCAAGGCTTCTTCTGTTAAGCTATTTTGTCTTCGTTTAACGTCTGTCTAAAGGAAGAGGGGGTTTGATTTGACCTGTGTTTCTCAGAATAAAGAGAACTAACAGTCTGTATTCAAGTCCAGTTTGTTGCATTCAAATGCTTTCAAAACCATCCGTCAAGGACATGAAAGACTAGGCAACTTTGTGCTATGTTTCTCAGCGATTATCTTTGTTGAAAAGATTTTCTTTTTAAATAAATGTACGAGTTTTGTTTGATGTGGTGACTGATGTAGCAAAGATGTCATTGTCTTTATTCAATTTCACACAGTCTGTGTTCCCATTTCATATATTTTATAAAGAATGTGGGTAAAAGAGGATTTCCTAGGATTCAAACCCATGACCTTGGCATTTCCAGACCTTTCTGTGTGCCTGTCTACCTTCTGTGTGTTTTATTTTTTTTAAATTAACACGTTCTGTTACTCTGTATTCAATATACAATTAAAATAACAGAATAGAATAAATAAATAGTACAGTGTGAGGGTTCACGAGCTGTTAATTGTAACTTATAAACAAGGTAGAAAAGTGGGAATTTAATCACTCGGTAATTTA